AATTTAAATAATTTAGAATGCAGCTTACAAATCCTTAATAGTTGCAATTGTATAACTCCACAAAATGATAATAAAAATTGTTTACACCTGGTGCATCAGAATATACAAGTCATGATAGGCAAAGAGCTAGAAATTGAATTGTTCTTAAATAGCAACAATATTCATATTTTATGTATTACTGAACATTGGTTAAAAGCTCATAACTTAATGTTTAACTTCAGTATTCATCAGGTGGTCAGTTCTTTCAATAGAGAAACGATTTTAAGAGGTGGCTCCTTAATTTTAGCTAGTAAATTATTATCATGTAAAGAACGTAAAGATATTGTGAGCCTCTCTCTCTCTGTTGAGCGAACTGTAGAAATGGCATGTGTTGAGTTTGGGCACCTCATTGTTGTGAGCGTTTACAGACCCCCATGTTCTTTACATGATACTTTTGAAAAAATTATGGAGGAAGTTTTCGCTAAGCTTAATAAACAGAATAAATCTGTTGTAATATGTGGAGACTTTAATATCAATCTCCTAGAACCTTCCTCCACCAATATTAAGTTTAGATCATTGTTTAAATCTTATGGTCTTTTTAATTTATTTTTGGAGCCAACACATATTGTTAAATCTAGTGCAACATAGACAAACAATAGACAAACAAGATATCATTTTTACAAATGTTAAGCCGTTCAATAAATGTATTATTCAAAAATTGAGCTCTGATCACTGTGGACAATTAGTTTCATTACCTTATGTTCACAAAAAGCAAGTAGATAAAAAAGTAGTGTTTGTTTCAGTAAATGCACATCACTTGGAGAAGTTTAGAAGTAACATAGTAAAAAAACTTCCATTACTTTCATACCAAAATAATCCAAATTTTTTGTATGGAACATTATTTAAGCTCATTCGCAATGAATTTAATAATACTTTTACTTCTAAAACATTCTTCTTGAACAATCGCAAGGTATTTAATGAATGGGCGATAGTAGGATACTATAAGAGTAGACAAAGGTTGTATGAACTTTACAATGAAAGGTCATATAATCCTAGCGTCGAATTTAGGGTTTATGTAAAAAAATATTCCAAAATATTTAAAAGAGTGTGCTCCTTAGCCAAGTCATTGTATTTGAGTAACAAAATAAAGACTGCTTCCAATAAAATTAAAATGACATGGAGTATAATTAATAGTGAAACTGGTAAGGTCAACTCTCGCAATTCAAACTACCAGTTAAGTTTTAACAATAAATTAACTAAATCAGATCAGGATGCTGCAATGGTTTTTAAGAAATATTTTACTGATATTCCGATCTTAACCACTAAGTCACTGAATTCTTCTCCTGCCGTCGCCGAATCATTACTTAAACAAAATGTAAATGTGTGTACTAAGAATTTTACATTTCATAAAGTGTCATCAAAAGATATTGTAAAAGATTTTAAGACTATTCATTTAAGAGAACTGCCGATCTGTGGGATCTGGGATCTGATGATCTGATGATCTGGGGGATTTCTGTTAAAGTTATTGCGTCTATAATAGATGCAATCGCACCTCAACTATCTATTATTTTATTTTAATACTAGTATCGAATCTGGTGTGATTTAATGAAGCATAAGTAAAGTAATACCTTTATTTAAATCTGGTAGTACATTGGACCCCGCTAATTTTAGACCTATTTCTGTACTGCCAACACTTAGCAAAATTTTTGAAAAAATTATTTTTGATCAAATGTTAATTTTTTTTAATGTAAATAGTTTACTTCATAAAAAACAATTTGGTTTCACAAGGGGTCGCTCGACAACTGATGCTGGTTTTGAGCTGATTAAATACATTTTTAATGCATGGGAGATTTCACAGGATGCTTCGGGTGTATTCTGTGACCTATCCAAAGCCTTCGATTGTGTTCACCATGAAACATTAATCAGGAAACTTCAACACTACGGTGTAAGAAGCGATGCTCTTAAATTAATTATTTCATATTTAAGTGACAGAACGCAAAAAGTTGTCATCAATAGTATGAGTTCTTCCGGGTCGATTGTACAAATGGGCGTGCCTCAGGGCTCAATTCTCGGCCCCTTTCTGTTTCTTGTATATATTAATGACTTACCTAACATAGTACGGGATAACCATGATATAGTATTATTTGCCGATGATACTTAATTAATTTTCAAATTAAAACGACAGTTATTAAATTACAACGAAGTAAATAATGCTATAGCTAAGTTAGTCAATTGGTTTAATGTTAATAATTTGCATTTGAATGAAACTAAAACTAAATGTATGAAATTCGTAACTCCTAATGTTAAACATGTCAATACTAATGTAATTTTAAATGGGGAGGATCTGAGTTTTGTTGATACCACCATTTTTCTTGGAATCACACTGGACGCAAAGCTTCAATAGCTCCCCCATATATCAAAACTAGCTGGCAGACTTAGTTCTGCAGCATATGCTGTAAAAAAAGATTAGAACTCTTACCAGTGTTGAAACAGCTATAATAGTTTACTTTAGTTATTTCCATATCATTATGTCGTATGGTATTTTGCTATGGGGACACGCGACTGATACTGAAATTATATTTATTTTACAGAAGAGGGCCATTAGAGTAATATATAATTTAAAACCAAACGAGTCACTGAGACAAAAATTTAAGGAAATTAATATATTATTCTCTCCTCTCAATACATTTATGAAAATGTAATGTACGTACACAAAAATAAAAGTAGTTTTGCGAAAATAAGTGATATTCATTCTGTAAATACTAGGAACAGACACAAGCTAGTAGTACCAGTTACTCGACTCCACCGAGTCAGTAATTCATTCTTGGGGCGATGTATATGCTTTTACAACAAAGTCCCAGAAAATATACAAAGTTTGTCATATCAAAGTTCAAAAATTTTATTAAACTAAGTTTGTATAAAAAGGGTTATTATAATGATAATAACCCCTGGGAAGGGTGATCGCTACCAAGCTATTACTAATTTGTCTTGTGTTGTTGATTGTAAATATGATTGTAAACTAGTATAAAAAAAAAATTCCCGCTGGGTTTCTTGCTGGTTCTTCCCAGAACAGTGGTTTTTTTTTTTGAGAACCAGTGGTAAATGAAAAAAGTGACGTTCAATAAGTATTGTTATAATCTACATTGAATAAAAAAGTTTCTGTTTCTGTTAACTGAATCAAATGTAAATACATTTCACGAACAGATAGAGAGCAACGAATACGAACGTACGAAATGCGAAAAATTGACAAACTAAATGTTATTTGTTATCTTAAATCTAAATAACGCCATATGATTAGATCCTCCCAGGCAAAGCCGAGGTGAGTAGTTATTAGGAGTAAAATTCAATACGAAATTCCGTGGAATCATTTGATCCTTAAACACTATAATCCAAACCAACGACGAACGAGAATCCACTGTTTGCAGTTTTTAAAAATACGCGGAAATAAGGTTTCTAGATTAATTTGAAAATATCCGAAATTTAATGTGATTTATATCTATTCTGAACCTCCTGTGCATACATTGCAAAATATATCCCGTACTAAAAAGTGTTTGTGTGGCTTAGAAATAATTGTCCCAGGTCTAGATTCTTGTTCATGTACAAATTACATAGTAAAACGCATTCTCGATACAAGAGAAAATCCTAGTGTAGGTTAAAACGTTTGAAAATAAAATAAAGAGAATTTTATACGTTATATAGAACAATCAGCACGTCGCGTAATTAATTATCACACATGTACATGTCTCATAGCTGGGCTTATATTTAAAATAAAATACAGTTTCAAATCGGCTGGCGCCTGTACTGTGGAATTTTAAGCGCCCAGCTTCTGAACAAACGCCGCGCGATCTCGTTATAATTTTATAATCTTGTGTTAAGTAATGCAAAAATAATTTCACAATAATTAATTGAAGACTATTATCAGCAAGTGAGTAAGTAGGTTTTATTATCATAGATTTACAATTTAAAAACGTTTCAGTGTACAAAGTGAACAGTCGCGTGTAATAATTCTTTAGATTAAAGAAATATTGTTATTTACTATCTGAATAATGAGATAAATAGTGACTGATAAATTAAACATTTTCATAAAAAGATGAATGCTAATAAAATTAATACTATTACTAGCTCTGTTGGAAGCGAGGAACAAAATGCAGCCACGCTGGACCACGCATTACATGTTGCAGGTTTGACATTTTAATTTGTTTATCATAAATATTTTTTGCTTTTAGTGTATTTATTTCAAGTCGATAGCGTTATCGTAGCTATCCGTGTATTAATGAATACATTTTAAAGAAGTGTATAAGTTAGGTATAGTAGTTACAAGTTCAAACGGCGAACAATTACGAAAAATTTTGGACTTTTGCGATTTTATATTTCGCATTGATATTGACGTCCTATTGATTCTACAATATAAAATGTGTGTGCAAGGCATGTGCATTTGTGTGCGTGTGTATGGGGATATAATAATAATAATAATAATAATAATAAATACTTAATGGCGTAGGTAATTGACGACCCAATCGCCCGCTGACGTAACAGTTAAGTGACAAAACTGCTACGTCAACGCAGCCAGTCAGCGCCTTGCGAGAGGTGTGAGCGCCGTGCCTTGGCAGAATTTAGGCTGCAAAGGTCCGTCTGTGCTTATGGCCACACACGATACGATGCCGGGCCTGGGCGTCTCCCGTTAATGGACGCCCAAATAATGGATGATGGATAAGAAGATAGTGCGCAAAGGGCCGCTGCCTGGCGGTCGCCGGGGCGCGTCTGAAGCTGGCGCTGGACGCGGCAGCATGCGGGCCGCCAGCCGAGCGTGAGGAGCTGCACGGTCACCTAGCAGCCCTCCGCATCCATCATCCCCACCAGAAGGCTTGGTGTCGGCTGGGTCTTCTCGGACTCAGCAAGCGGCACCCGCCGCTGGTGGAGCACGTCGCATGCGTTGGTCACAAGCAATGAATACAAATGCACTGCGGGCGTACTTTAGGGCAAAAGGGGAAGAAACTGGATGTTTGGCGTACCGGGCTAGGATGCATCGTCTTTTTGCTGAGCTGGAGCCATCTTTAACCGTCACAGAGCAAAACCTGGCAGACCGAGTTCGGTATATCTTGCGCTCAAATATATTTGATGTCGCCGAACTCGAACGGCTACGACGTGAGGCTGTTCCCTCATGGGATGAAAATGCTACGGCTGAGGATGCAGCACCACAAATGATAGAGCAACCCGCAAACGTGGATGCCGCCGTGAATACCCCAGTTGTGGTTGATTCAAACGATGATGGAACAGTCGCCCAGGAACTGGAATTAGAGCATATTAGGAGTACATTGGAAGAGGCGATTGTGGAAACGCGCAGTACGCCTCTCGAAAATCGACCGCGACTTCCCCGCATAGCCCTAAGCCAGCGGAATCGGGCTGTCGTGAAGGCCCTGAACCCAATGCTGGTGACCTATTTGGAAGCCAACCGGGACCTTTGCGAGACGAACTCAATTCTTTTTGGCGCCGCGCTGGCAGTCTGCCGTATCATAGGCACCAAGGTTTCCACGGCTGGACGCGCTACTGGCCATAGTAGCGCTATCCCAGCATGGAGAAGAAGAATTGAGGAACATATCGCAAAGGCTAGAGCTCTCATCGGCAGACTGATATGCTTCAGATCAGGAAATAACAGGGCAAGAATTATGCGCACCGTCAGGATGGCGTTTGCTGGGACAAATGTCAGTTTGTCCCAGCCGGATATAACGCAAAAACTGACGGAGCGCATAGATGATCTGAAGCAAAGAATCGCTGCTTGGGGAAAGCGGATTCGGCGATATACCGAGAGGTCAACACGGTTCAACCAGAATTGTCTCTTCCAGAGTGATCAGAAGAGGCTCTATGCATTATTGGAGCGACCGATAGTAAGTAGAACGGGCCCAGCACCGAATCAGGCCGACACTGTAGCATTCTGGCGCAGCCTGTAGTCAGAGCCCGTAAACCACAGCGAGGGCCCTTGGACGGAAGTTGTGGCGAGTCAGTGTGCGGGTATTACGCCCATGGACCCCGTCATCATAACACCGGATGCCGTAGCTGAGGCGATACGTAGGGCCCCGAACTGGAAAAGTCCGGGGCTTGACGGGCTGCATCACTACTGGCTGAAGGGGTTCATGGTGTGTCACTCTGTGCTCGCCCGACAGTTTCAAGAGGCTCTCAACCAGAAGTCGCTCCCAAGCCTCTTCACTACTGGGATCACTCATTTGGTTCCTAAAGTCCAGGGTACCACAGACCCGAGCAAATACCGCCCCATCACGTGTCTACCGACCATATACAAGACACTAACATCCATTTTGAGCGCGAGAATCACTCGTCACCTGGACTCAAATCAGCTGATGTCGCGCGCTCAAAATGGATGTCGGGGTGGTGGTCGTGGAACCAAGGAACCACTCATTGACGCGGTTATTGGCAAAGTGGTGAAACGCAACCGTCGCAACTTCTCCGCCGCCTGGATAGACTATAGAAAGGCATTCGACTCGGTGCCCCATACATGGCTAAAGAGAGTCCTCGAGCTGTACAAGATAGACTGTACAGTTAGAGACTTCCTCGAGCAGTGTATGGGGCAGTGGAGTACGATCCTTTGTCATCTGGGCGAGCGGAGGATGGCTGCGGAGAACCACATAAGGATAAGAAGGGGTATCTTCCAGGGCGATTGTCTGATTGATTGAGTCCAATCTGGTTCTGCCTCTCTCTGAACCCTCTCAGTACCTTACTGGAGGGCTCCGGGAGGGTATTTCAGCTACGGAAAGAAGAGACAAAATGACCCACCTTTTCTATATGGATGACCTCAAGTTATTCGCCTATTCGCCACCAGTCGCTCCCATCTTATGGAATTGCTAAACATCACTTGTGAATTTAGCAATTCCATTGGATTGGAGCTGGGGACGGATAGGTGTGCGGTCCTCCATGTTGAAAGGGGAAGGGTTGCTAACTCTGAGGGCATAGACTTATCCATGCCCGTCAACTTAAGAACCCTTTCCGAGGCTGAAACATACCAATACCTGGGTATGTCACAAAACATCGGTGTCGATGAGACTGGTATGAAACAGTCAGTTTGCGACGTGTTTTATGCACGCTTGACCAAAGTGCTTAACAGCCTTTTGTCCGGTATGAATAAGGCACACGCTATATAACGGCTAGGTCATGCCTGTCCTCATGTATACCTTTGGCATACTCAGGTGGACTCAGACTGAACTTAAGGCCCTGGATAGAAAAGTCCGCACTACCATGACGTCCCATAGGATGCATCATCCGAGATTGTCGGTAATGAGGCTGTACTTGCCGCGGAAGCATGGTGGTCGTGGCTTCTTGAGCGCGCTCACCATGCATAATCGCGAAGTGTGCAGCCTCCGTGATTACTTCCTGGCGAGATTGGATGATCCATTCTATAAGGACGTCATTTCTTGTGATAAAGGACTTACCCCTCTATCCTTAGCCAACGAGCAATGGGAAAACCCGACAGTGCAGAGCATTTCCGACCGGGAGACCGTATGGAAGGAGAAGGAGCTCCACGGGAGGTTCTACAAAGCTCTACATGAGCCTTTCGTAGACACAGTAGCCTCCCACAACTGGCTACGCTTTGGCGATCTCTTCGGGGAAACCGAGGGTTTTGTCTGTGCAATACAGGATCAGGTTATTAAGACCAACAACTATCGGAGATACATCCTAAAGGATGGCACCGTCGACATCTGTCGAGCTTGTCGCCATCCCGGTGAGTCACTTAGGCATGTCATCTCCGGTTGTTCGGCGCTTTCTAACTCTGAGTACTTGCACAGGCACAACCTAGTAGCCAGAATTCTTCACCAGGAGCTCGCTCTGAAATACAGTCTCGTGGATCGGAAATTGCCGTATTACAAGTACTTGCCGGAAGCCGTGCTCGAAAATGATCGCGCCAGGCTCTATTGGGACCGGGCCATCATCACAGACAGGACTATTCTTGCGAATAAGCCTGATATTGTGCTGATGGACCGGGCACAGTCAAGGATATTTTTGGTCGACATTACCATTCCGTATGACGAGAACCTCGTGAAAGCCGAAACAGATAAGCAAACAAAATATCTGGACCTGGCTCACGAGGTGACCGACATGTGTGGTGGTCTGCCGACCGAAATTATTCCTGTAGTCGTCTGTGCGAACGGGCTAATCCCAGTCAGCCTCTCGGGTCATGTGAGGCGGCTGGGACTACGTGGCGGACCGCTCCAGGCTCAAATGCAGAAGGCGGTGCTCCTCGATACCGCCCGCATCGTCCGCCGGTTTCTTTTCCTTTCCCCCTAACCCTCGGCCGTTTGGTCTCCCCCTGCCGAGGGCCTCCATCTGGTTGGGCTTTTATTTATTTATTTATTTTTATATTTAGTTTATGTTATAGATATTTATGTATATTTATCTTTTCATTTTCATTTATAATTATATATTTATAGAACCCAACCAGATGAGAAAACTATGTTGATACCCCACATAAATACTTTTATTTCTCAAAAATTAAATGTACATGACTTTGAGACGCCCCAGAGAGTAATTTCCATACTCGTGTTGGGGAAAATGGAGATTATAAGGACATGGTTGGTTATGTGTTTTTTTTTTATGTAGGTACGTACATCGCATTAAAATATTGAAGATAAGTAATAAAATCTACGATTAATGTAACAGTTAAAAATAAATAAAAAAGCACAGTAGATATTTGTGTATCTCTCTTTCTCGCTATAGTAAATGACGGTTCTGAGTGACCAAAAAAGAAAGAAGCACAGGAAAGTGCAATTCCGTGCGGCCAGATGTAATTCAAACCTTTAACTCTATGGGTTGGTTAAAATCTATAAAATTAGACCGTTTAAAACCTAGATAACCTTTTCGGTCGATCATGACATTAAAAAATGGGAATAACATTTTATAGACTAGGCAACACTCGAATATTATTGTACAGTATTAATACGTATATTGACATTGAGCTTTCGTATTGTTTTACAAATAAATGCATCAGAATATTGTATATTTAGTTATAAAAAGTGATGTTCTTATCTTTATCTTTTTTCCAGAAAATTATAAAAAAACACCTCACGTAATTTATGGACGCCCCCTTGGGTCTTCCGTGGCTGAAAACTATGAAAATGGTTTATGGAAATAAAAATATATCGTATCTTTTACAAAAAAGTACCAATAGTACCTAATAAATAGTACAGTATTGGTAAGCCAACACCAGGCAAGAGCAAAAATGGAAGAAAAAAAAAGAAAACACATTATAATATTTTTTTTAACTTTAAACACAAAATGGGTCTACCCAACCGTTTTCGGGTGATGGAGCGTGAAGTACGCACCGAACCGAACGAGTGGGGATTTAGAGCTCACATATAGTAATGTTCTACTTTCATATTATACAACATGTAACATAATTAACGCACTTTGAGAAAGTAGTTTGTTCAGAATCGTTTACTGAATCGATTCCTGTCATTTTTAGTATTGGTAATTTTTTATCCCAAAAATAATTAAAACTACGTAAATTACAGTCACACTAAATCTGTACAGTCAAAACAAACTGAAATGGACCGTAACTTAAGGCAATAAGACTTTTAAGAGTGCAGTTTTATTTGTATTATTACTAATTCTGTCATTCAATAAAAATAAATAAAAATTAACTTTATTTCAAGCACATTAAAGTCTTTGCGTTCGTGGATTTGTACTGTGACCACAACATTCTTCCGGAATTAGTATAACTAATTTGATAAATAATCAGTGCATAAAAATGTTTAACCAAAAATTCAGTGTATATATTATGATTATAACATAATATACTAATTGGGGTGTCTGAGGGTGTGCGTTAATTACGTTACATATTATATAGTCAAGAATAAATTCAATTAATTATTCTATCTGCATTCTCTAATAAAAAATATTACAAAAGAAGCGCTTACTGCCATTATAATAATAATAAACTTTATTTTCTTTAATAAATTTGTCATATATATATAGATATATATATATATATATTTATATATATATATATATATATATATATATATATATATATATATGTATATATATATATGTATATATATATATATATATATATATATATATATAATACTTTACTTTCTAAAATCTTATTTTCTTGGTTTAAAATATGTCATTAAATAAATAATAATCAATTACTGTCCGTGCGTCTCGCTAAAACTCAAAAATGGCTCGACTGATTTTGGTGAAATTTTTGGTGTGTATTCGAGTGCGTCCCTGGATGGTTTAGATTCATGTTTAGCTTACTTTACATGTAAACATTTATTGAACAATATCTAATATTTCTCGAACATTCCCAATTAAAATTAAAGTAGGTCACTTAATTTAAATAAAGATAAAGGTACAGAGACGTATTATTACAATAATTAATTAAATGTCAATTTTGAATAACATCAATTTACTAAAATTCCCATAATTTAATTAAAGATGCAGTAAATAATTTGTGGCCGAGACGTTTTACTCCTGAAGCCGATGAATTTTTCTGTTGATATCTCCTCAGGAACTAATTGTCTGATTTCGATGAAACTCAGCGTAATATGCGTAGAGTGAACAATCAAAGTCAATGAAAGGAGCGTAGCAGACCCTTATCTTTGACTCCGATAGACTTTTTTACTATCTTCTCTGTAATTAATGGTCTAATTTAATCTTTCAAGTTATAGAATCATAATTCATTAGACGGGTTAATCAAAAACAATAAAAAATAGCTACGATTTTGATGTTTGCTTCTACTACTGGACTGTAGTGCTCATGACAAGCTTACTGCTTAACATAGGCTTCCTCCATGGATTGCCGCCAGTAACGGTTCTTGACTGTGACTTGCATCCATCGATTGTCTAATGGTCGCCACACACGGTCAGTTCAGCTGATCAGTTCAAACTAAAACTGTTGATATTTTTTTAAATATCGGCTTTTCGATATATCGATAAATAAACTTGTAAAACTCCGATATTAATATATTTATAATGAACGATATATCGAAAATCCACTATTTTAAAAAATATGAACAGTTTTAGTTTGAACTGATTAGTTGGAATGATCAGTTGAACTGACCGTGTGTGGGGTCCATAAGTGTTTTTTTTATATCTGGCTCCGCTACCGTATAGTGGTAAATTATCCCACTACCCCGTATCATCCCGTAGGTATCGCACGAGGCGACAGAGGGATACTGATATAGAAGATGGTTAACAGTATTTTTTTGATAACAGCTTAATAGAAAAACTGCGTTTGCCTAGCGTGGCGATAATGGCATATATCCTCTTTACTGTATATTTAATTTTTATTTAATGAACTCAAACAAATAAGCATCATCTTAAGCTATCATATACATTATATATATATATATATATATATATATATATATATATATATAAAATGAAACCCCAACCAAACCAACCCATTTCAAAAAAAAAAAAACCAAAACCAGCCACCAAACAACTTTTTTTTTTTTTTTAAGCTTTTATATTTTGTTTTTTTGTTTTATTTTCGACGCTAAATTTTTTTTTTTTTAAAACCTAAAAACCTTGGAAGAATAAATTAATTATTTACAAATATAAAGCGAAATAATCTGGTATTTTACATAAATTACTAAGGACCCGCCCTGTCTTCGCATGTTTGTGATCCATATTTAAATTTTAGATAATCAAGAAGGATTTTATTTAATCTTCAAGTTTTTGGGATACAATATATAATGCCTAGATCACTCGTGGTATTTGCTCTCTATTTTTTCGTGAAATTCCATTACAATCGATTTAGTCATTTCGAAGATTACGTCGGACATACAAAAAGGCAAAAACTTTTCACAACGATACTTCATATCTTATATCAAGAGAGAGGAGACATCATATTTACCAGAAATGTTTGTGCTAAATTTTTTTTTTTTTGAAAAGGAGGCAAGCGACACCACACTCGTTGGTAAGTTATTATATCGCCTCTGAACATCTACAATACCAGGGGAATTGCAAGTGAATTGCCGCGTGTTTAGAAAGGAGTAGGCTCTTATCTTGTTCCTAAGTCGTATCGGTCCGGAAAAACCGCTGACGACAGTAAATTCCACAGTGTGGTCGTGCGAGGCAGAAAATTCCGCAATAATGGACCGCATATATGCAACCTGACTTGAAAAAGTTTGAAGGTAGGTTAGAAAACAGTATCGAAGGTAGGTTGTTGGTAATTACAACACAACCAAAACCGGAAACCAGCAATTGTGTTTTTGCAAGTGTTTATGGTGGTAATCTGGATTTCAATCCCGTCTTTTATATCTATAATGCACTGATTCACGCGACGCGTTTAAGGAATTCCTTTTCTATCTAAAAGTCTGTCTGAGTAGATTATACAACCTTACCTATTGTTGCCGCTAAGCAACAGTACGTGCACAGCTGTATTCCGCTCTGAAAGGTATGGTAGGGAGCCGGTATAATTAGGGCCGATGCAAAGGTAAAACATTTTGCTAGCATCATAAACGGAGCAGAGTAAAAGTCTAAAGACATAACTACCTTTATTTTAACAAAAGATTCAATCCAATAGTGTGACATTGTGCAGATGTAAATTAGCGGATTAGATAGTAAAGGAAAAAAAATCAAATTCAGATTTTTATTGTTTACAAACCTTGTCTGCGTTGAGCTGCAAATAATGCTGGTAAAATTATGCAAATTGGCCTACGGGTTACGGAGGAGATAGATTTCAAAGAATCGTTTTCTTGCGCCATGTGAGCTACACTTGCTTCGCTCGATCCGCTCCAATTACATACTATGAGGAATTCTATCTGAGTCCTTAGAAATGAAACGCAACTGTAGCTTCTGTGATTGCAGTTGTTTGTAGGTATCCATTAGCGTATAACAACCTAATCAAATCTAAAAAAATCCATATATTTAAATACTACTTACTTTTTTAAACAAGTTTATTACGACCAGTGTTCCTTTATTACAAAATATCGTTATATTTTATTTTCTAGGTCTCGGCTGGTACAACATAAAATATTGTTTGGTGCTCGCGCTGTTCCTCATGTGTGCGATCATAGAACCGATCGGCTACTCCTATACATTACCTGCAGCCAAATGCGATCTTGCCATGACTGCTGCTCAGCGCGGATTTTTAAGCTCGGTACCATATATAGGTATGTATTTTAATAAATTATCAATCTAACTGCTCTAAATTTATTCATTTATTTAAATAAATTCTGTTAAAACCGACAACAAATTTACCGTAAAAAATGGAAATTTCATAAAGGAATCTTCATAACCTCAAGATGCCAAATAAAACTTGAATGTATAGCTCCGTGGTATGACTTTTATTAAAGTTATCCGTTTTCATATATAACTCTGCTCACAAAACAGTCACGTGCTATGAAAGTTATCTTAGTCTTATTATAATATTAGTCGCCTAGTCGTTGTTTATATGGGACCGACTGACGAAGATTGTGGTTATCAGGTCGTATTATATCACGGTTATCAGCAAGTTGTTACTTATATGATCGCTGCTAAAATTTACATTTTTTGTTAACCAAGTTTATTGCATCCTTAAATTATAAGGTACTGAATATTATATACTAGAAAGTAGGTTCATATGCTGTTTCTAAACTTATATTAGCTTAACTTTGAAAGCCCATTCAATTTGTTTGTTGCGAAAAGTTAAAATTCTGCATGTTTGTTTTATAAAACAACTATGCAAAAATAGTGGTCGTTTTAATTTTGGTTCCCAAGAAAATTATTGATTCTTATCACCCTTTACCTTCTTCATCTTACCTACTTCCTTACATACTACTTCTGTACCCTTATCTTCTTCATATTTAACAGCTTTTTTCACTTAATATAATCCAGTGCTTGACCACAATTCCACCTGGTGGTAAGTGGTGATATAATTCTAGATGGTAACTCGCACTGCCTATTCATTCTTGCTTTTAAGACGCCGGACGGAAAAATAGACGACGGAAAATTATTCCACTACTTTGCTGTACGCATTACAAAAGAAGAAGCAAACGTTTGGTTCTAATGGGTGGAATATCGACAACAAAGGGATGAAGACCCGCCGACTGCCTGGTTGTCTAATGGTGGAAAGGAGAGGGAGGAATTAAAGTGTGTAGTTCCTGCGTACACTCACCGAAATGCATCCTATAGAATACTGAGAGGCTGGCTTCTCTGCGCCTGTGCTCGAGGCTGACAATATTGGTTTCAACCAAATCATGGTCACCAATGAGCTTCTTAGCACTTCTCTACACTGAGTCCAACGCTGCCAGGTGGCATTTTGCTCGTAATTATAAAGGACCTCGCACCTTTGTCGCAGTTCCCTGATCTAAATAGTTTTATCTTGTATATGTACAAGATAAAACTTGGCGTGTAGTGGTGGCACAAGAGCACACACTGCCCCGTTTCATCCCGTAAGTGTCATAAGAGCCGACAGTGGGAAATGAATTGTAAAATATACCTAATATTTATTCAATGTAGATTATGAGTAATGCACCTCCTCCCTGTGAAGAACCAGCAAGAATCTGAAACTCTTTCGTTAAATGATAATTAACTATCCTATACTGATTTACAGGCGGCACAGAACATTTGTATTTTTTAAAGAGACAACGAAGTAACAATTCAATGATATTTTAAGAGTTTATAGGTAATGAAAAAATACAAACCGTAACTAAATAATATTATAATCAAAGAATACGTAACTAATATTCGCGCTCTACTGCTTGGTAATAATATGGATGGATAATTCTGCTTACTTGATTTGTCAACTTTACTGACGATTTTGTAAAATAATGACTCCTCTTATCAAGTGAATTCTAAATAGTTGTGTGAATAGGAGAGATACTTGTGGGTATTTTAAATAATACTAAAGTTATATAATAGTTATTACGTACATTTATTCTGTATATGTTGTGTTTTGTGTTTAGAAAAAAATTCTAAGAAAGGCACTTGAGGTTGCGAACCTTTGTTTACAAGTAATGTTGATTGCATTTCATGTGCCTGTCAAAAATTTCCTTCTAACTCTTAGATAGACCACTTATGTCATCAGTCGTAAAACGGTAAAACAACCTTAAAACTAATTCCACTGAAGTCGTTAAGTTTTTTTTTAAAAAAAGATGGGAGGAAAGACAATACATAGCTAAGCACGAACACTTGCTCTAAAAGTTTTAAAATTTTTCGAAGATGAAAAATCAAATAAAAAGTTTCTTATTCCTGTGGACCAAGCTTTAAAGAGGGCTTGTGCAGCAACAGGCATATCAAAGGCAACACTACTAAGAATGAAAAACGAGGCGAAAAAAGTTCAGTCAATTTCTCAAGACCAAAATGATGATGTCACAGTAGTATCGGAAACATGTACTTCTCAAGCAAGACCAGAACTCAAACTATCAACTCCAGGAAAAAAAAGAAACAGAGCTCAAAAAAAATTGAACTCGACAATTTTGATCTGTATGCTCTAAGAAACCTTGTCAACAGTTTCTATACAGTACGGAAAGAAATTCCAACATTGAAAAAGATTTTAACGGCTGCAAAAGCAGATCTAAATTTTCCAGGTACGTACCCATATTTATTGACATTTTTTATATGTATTATATATCATACTTTAGGTCATATCATATACAAGGTGACATTTAATTCAAGCATAATCTTGTTAGGGGTGCTAGAACTGGTAACTTGCAACAATTTTATGTATGGACACCCACATGCAAAAGTGAGCCATTTCTGAGATAATTAATTTTAAATTATTTTTTGAAAAAATACCACGCGATAACTAGAAATTAAAAATAAAATCTTTATTTTACAGGTGAAAAAACCACGTTACAATGAATACTCGTTGACTACTTGGGGTACAAATTTAAAAAATGTAAGAACGCAAGACAAGTCTTAATACAAAAGCCAGACATTGCTGCCTGGAGAGCCCGTTATTTACGAAGGAAGAAAGAAAACAATGAACTTGGGGTGGACAAAAAACCCGTAACTTATTTAGACGAAACATGGATTCACTCCCACTATACCGTGCGCAAATGCTGGCAAAATAACAATGACGCAAGCATTAGAAATAATGATAATCCAGGACAGCGGTGGATATTGGTGCACGCTGGCGGTGAACACGGCTTTATACCTGGTGCCGAATTGCTTTACAAATGCAAAAGTAATGCCGGGGACTACCATCACGAAATGGATAGTAAAAACTTTAAAAAGTGGTCGACAGAAAAACTAATCCCAAACTTACCTCAAAACAGTCTCGTCGTTATAGACAATGCTCCCTACCACTCAACGCAGTCTGAAAAACCACCCGTGAGCTCGTCCCTGAAAGGTGAGATGCAGAGTTGGCTTCGGAAAAACAACATTCCTTTTGATGAAAAAATGACGAAACCGGAACTGTACCATATAATACTGCTCAATAAACCACCGAAAAAATATATAGTGGACGAACTCATGATGGAACGCATGGACACGAGGTATTACGGCTGCCACCCTACCATTGTGATTTGAACCCTATCGAATATATATGGAACTTAATAAAACAAAGGGTGGCAGCTAAAAATGTTAACCAGTTTGAAAGGGAAATAGAGGGTTTGACAAGAGACGCAATACAGTCTATAACGGCTTCCGATTGGAAGAAAGAAATTAACCATATCGAAAGATTAGAAAATGAATACTGGGAGAGTGATAGACTTGGAGAAATCCAACAGAGAGAATTAATTATATTCCTCGGAGGGGAAGAATCCAGCTCAGAGAGTGAAAGTGAGGACGATCTAATGGACGGAATAGAACCGATCGTATACAGTGACAATGAATAATAAATATTATAATAAATCCTTATTAATATTCCTTACTTCTATTCCTTGATTTTACATAGTTTGTGCTGTTCCGCTTATCCAAGATTGATTCACTTTCACCCTAAGGTTGCCTGGGAGAGATTGCTTTTTAGCAATAAGGTCGCCTGTTATACTTTGTATTTTTATTGTGTACGAATCTGTAACACTTTTTATAGTGCAATAAAGTGTATAATAAATAAATTAATGAATATCATTACGCAACAGGACGACGTTAAATTAAAATGGGAAATAACCGTAATAAAAATAAGAAGCGACTGGGTTGGCGTAAAGAAACAGGCATAAATATGATAAACCTAATGAAATAAGTATCTAAAAACCTATCTACTTACTGTATTAGCACGGTAATAATATCTATACAGTATTGTAACTCGGCCGTATCTTTGAAATAAATGCCTACAGCCGCGCCGTACGTAAACATGCGATAGGGCTGCCTGCCTCAGCATTTTAATTACATTTGCCTGCTTTGTGTTTCCATTTAGTTTTTCCATTTAAGTTGTAAATATACTTTTTTATATAAACAAATATAATAAGTAGGTACTTTGTGTATTGAATAGGAAGTGTTCAATAAAAATGCGTGTCGTTTATTGATTGGTAGATTTAATTAAAAAACCATGTTTATGTTTGAATAACAAATCGGTCTTATAAATTTGCGACCGAAAAATATTTGCGCCTCGCCTGAGACGTACGAAATGCTTTATTATTAAAATTTTAAGTATAAAAAATCCGCATCCTAATATAAGGCTTAATTAAAAATTGTTTTGGGAAACTTGGACAAGATGGAGAAAAGGAATATCTTTTACTTGGTTACAATCTTTTAATTAATTACAATTTATATATGTGGTTTTAAATAAAGTTCGGATTTATTATTTATTTAATTCTATTCTATTATTTATTTCCTCAATTTTTTCATATATTCCATGCATAGCGCATGCCGAGATCGAGGTGCGTATAACTCGTACGAATTAACTTGAGACCTGGGCCGATGACGTAATTGTCAATGTACGGTGTGCAAAATAATGCGTCGTAATATTTTTTTATTTGAAATTTTTGAGATTTGCATGAGATTATTAATAAAAACAAAATAAAATGTTCTGGCAAGGGGTGAAGTAATAAGTGATATACTGTTGCCATTTTTATATATTTTAAATATTTATTTTTTATAATATATATAATATTATTTTTAGTTAAAGCGTCAAGAAAGGACAAAGAAATAAACATACACACTTTTTCATTAATAATATTATTAATTTATTTATTATACACTTTATTGCACTATAAAAAGTGTTACAGATTCGTACACAATAAAAATACAAAGCATAACAGGCGACCTTATTGCTAAAAAGCAATCTCTCCCAGGCAACCTTAGGGTGAAAGTGAATCAATCTTGGATAAGCGGAACAGCACAAACTATGTAAAATCAAGGAATAGAAGTAAGGAATATTAATAAGGATTTATTATAATATTTATTATTCATTGTCACTGTATACGATCGGTTCTATTCCGTCCATTAGATCGTCCTCACTTTCACTCTCTGAGCTGGATTCTTCCCCTCCGAGGAATATAATTAATTCTCTCTGTTGGATTTCTCCAAGTCTATCACTCTCCCAGTATTCATTTTCTAATCTTTCGATATGGTTAATTTCTTTCTTCCAATCGGAAGCCGTTATAGACTGTATTGCGTCTCTTGTCAAACCCTCTATTTCCCTTTCAAACTGGTTAACATTTTTAGCTGCCACCCTTTGTTTTATTAAGTTCCATATATATTCGATAGGGTTCAAATCACAATGGTAGGGTGGCAGCCGTAATACCTCGTGTCCATGAGTTCCATCATGAGTTCGTCCACTATATATTTTTTCGGTGGTTTATTGAGCAGTATTATATGGTACAGTTCCGGTTTCGTCATTTTTTCATCAAAAGGAATGTTGTTTTTCCGAAGCCAACTCTGCATCTCACCTTTCAGGGACGAGCTCACGGGTGGTTTTTCAGACTGCGTTGAGTGGTAGGGAGCATTGTCTATAACGACGAGACTGTTTTGAGGTAAGTTTGGGATTAGTTTTTCTGTCAACCACTTTTTAAAGTTTTTACTATCCATTTCGTGATGGTAGTCCCCGGCATTACTTTTGCATTTGTAAAGCAATTCGGCACCAGGGATAAAGCCGTGTTCACCGCCAGCATGCACCAATATCCACCGCTGTCCTGGATTATCATTATTTCTAATGCTTGCGTCATTGTTATTTTGCCAGCATTTGCGCACGGTATAGTGGGAGTGAATCCATGTTTCGTCTAAATAAGTTACGGGTTTTTTTGTCCACCCCAAGTTCATTGTTTTCTTTCTTCCTTCGTAAATAACGGGCTCTCCAGGCAGCAATGTCTGGCTTTTGTATTAAGACTTGTCTTGCGTTCTTACACTTTTTAAATTTGTACCCCAAGTAGTCAACGAGTATTCGTTGTAACGTGGTTTTTTCACCTGTAAAATAAAGATTTTATTTTTAATTTTTAGTTATCGCGTGGTATTTTTTCAAAAAATAATTTAAAATTAATTATCTCAGAAATGGTTCACTTTTGCATGTGGGTGTCCATACATAAAATTGTTGCAAATTACCAGTTCTAGCACCCCTAACAAGATTATGCTTGAATTAAATGTCACCTTGTATATGATATGACCTAAAGTATGATATATAATACATATAAAAAATGTCAATAAATATGGGTACGTACCTGGAAAATTTAGATCTGCTTTTGCAGCCGTTAAAATCTTTTTCAATGTTGGAATTTCTTTCCGTACTGTATAGAAACTGTTGACAAGGTTTCTTAGAGCACACAGATCAAAATTGTCGAGTTCAATTTTTTTTGAGCTCTGTTTCTTTTTTTTCCTGGAGTTGATAGTTTGAGTTCTGATCTTGCTTGAGAAGTGCATGTTTCCGATACTACTCTGACATCATCATTTTGGTCTTGAGAAATTGACTGAACTTTTTTCGCCTCGTTTTTCATTCTTAGTAGTGTTGCCTTTGATATGCCTGTTGCTGCACAAGCCCTCTTTAAAGCTTGGTCCACAGGAATAAGAAACTTTTTATTTGATTTTTCATCTTCGAAAAATTTTAAAACTTTTAGAGCAAGTGTTCGTGCTTAGCTATGTATTGTCTTTCCTCCCATCTTTTTTTAAAAAAAAAACTTAACGACTTCAGTGGAATTAGTTTTAAGGTTGTTTTACCGTTTTACGACTGATGACATAAGTGGTCTATCTAAGAGTTAGAAGGAAATTTTTGACAGGCACATGAAATGCAATCAACATTACTTGTAAACAAAGGTTTGCAACCTCAAGTGCCTTTCTTAGAATTTTTTTCTAAACAAAAAACACAACATATACAGAATAAATGTACGTAATAACTATTATATAACTTTAGTATTATTTAAAATACCCACAAGTATCTCTCCTGTCACATAACTATTTAGAATTCACTTGATAAGAGGAGTCATTATTTTACAAAATCGTTAGTAAAGTTGACAAATCAAGTAAGCAGAATTATCTGCGTTGAGCCTAACTCAGCCTAACTCATATTGTTTTATATTGTGTAATGTTACTGTTATCCGGTATGATGACGATAATTCAGATATCCTGTCAATTTTAATCACTACCATATCTTCCAGTTATTACATTATGTTATATCAAAGTATTACGTATGGCGTTTTTGGCAAGATACTAAGGATCAGTAAACCGAACTAGCAAGTGGCCGGCCATAAAAGATAATAAGAATGAATTTCGTATTAGATGATTACTTGAGGACGCATGCAGGGAGTCATAGCTTTACTTTGTCGAAATGGATAGGATAGGGTGACAAACGAGCACACAGTCCACCTGATGGTAAGTGGTTGCTGTGGCCCATAAACTTCTACATATATCCTCGATTACGAATCAAAATGCAGATACGTCGTCACCCGTGAGAACTAAGACGGAATGCCTCTTTTCCAGTAAAAAAGGTTCCGGTTCTCTACACTCACCTTAGGAAACACAGCACCAAAGCTACTATTTTACGGTGTTATTTTGTGAGAGCGTGGTCTTTCCTCGGTCGAGCCGACCCATTCATACTACAACTATACTACTAATATAACTGCAGCATGGCTCTATCACGTATTATAATTTTGTATTTTCATATAAATTTTCTTCTTACATCTCCTTCATTCTATTTCTGCGTCCTTCCAAGGGCTGGTAGAGAATGCCTCAGGCATTAAGGTACACCTACATATATTACACGTAGTAAGAAGTTTAGTTGCAGTCTTTGTGGGTGGTCTTTGGTCAGTAGTGGATCTGCTGAAACAATATAACCATAACGATTACATATCAAGATACGAAAACAACAGGAAATAACAAAAACTGCGGTTCCCAATCCGCCTACCAAATGCGGCAACTATAACAAAATTCCTTCTATGAACCAATTTATGGGGGGAAGCCTGCTGTGGACTTTGGGAACTTATAAGGAAAACATCGTAAGGAGGTTTCTTTCGGTTCCTGAAGCTGATTTCCAAAAAGGCTTTAGTAACATAGACCACAAACAAACTTTTCGGGCAAATTATTATTATACAATAATACTATGGTATAATTATACAGAAGACCGCAGAGAACAATCTGCGACTTTGTCTTGCCTATGTGGACTATGAAAAGGTCTTTGATTCCGTTGAAATTTAGTAGTGCTCCTACAGTACCTTAAGCGATGCTAGAATCAATGTCGATAAGTGCTAAAGTGTTTGTACAGTAGACCTACGATGGACCAGAATACAAAACCCAATACGGTGGCCCTCCGCTATATTTTAATGAATTATGATATGAACCTCCGACAGTTTGTTTATATTCTTTAAAATCTCGTTTCGTTAACCTTACTTTGGACTAAAACAATTAGAATAAGGCTATGAACGGATATATCTCTTTATAATATGTCAAATGCTTGTTTTAAATTAAAACTAATTAAATATATCATAACATTGCAGGAATTGCATTAACCTCGTTCCTTTGGGGATACTTAGTGGACACAAAGGGAAGAAAGTTGACGGTTATCTACAGTTCACTGTTCACTGGCGGATTTGCAATTCTCTCGGCGTTTATGCCTAACTACATAAGTTTTACAATTTGCAAATTTTTATCATCGTTATGGTAAGTATTATATTTATTTATTTTAAATCGTTGTTGCACTTCACTACAAATAATGATACATGTTTAACGTTTAGTATTTGCAGAAATATTTGGTAAGAAATACAGTCGGCGGTCATACTACTTAACCTCTGTTAAAGTTATATAAATGTGTGTTTCTCAGTTGGTTCTAATTAAGAACTTGTAATATTTTTATATTAAAAAGCTATCCACAACCCATAAACCGTGTTGTGGCGGTGTCAGAATACCCAATACCACAGAATAAATAATAGTACCAATACCCCATATCGTCCCGTGGGTGGCGTAAGAGGCGACAGAGGGAAATTGAAACAGGTGATGGGCACTTAGTCTTACCGTGTGTCCGGGAAGTAGAACACCATCTCCTCGAAAAGCGAACAAATCAAAGGATTCATCTTGTTATCATCATTTGAATGAATATGTTCATTTGATATACATATCATGGGAGTGAATAAAAACATAGTCCGATCTTTGAGGCTCACGATATTGGACTTAGAGTGACCTTTTATTTTTCGTATTCTTCCCAGCAAACCCTTTTATATAATACCCATATTATGAGAGTGTATTGAAAATAACGAGTCCGCCATATTGGTCAATAGATATTAGATTGATAATGACGTCACTTTACTAGGCGTACTTTTAAAATTCAGTTGTAAAATTTTACCCGCACCATTCAACCCCAAAATCGTAATGGGAGACTCCAAAAGCTCAGGGATAACAAAATTACAGGCGAAGTAGAGCAACTAAGTTCTTGGTCACCTACTTAAATACGCCATCTTGAATTTTTTTTTTACTGACCCTTGTTGCCCTACAACATTTATCCGGGCATCAGCAAACTATCCCTAATCTTTGCCGAGCTAAAACTCTTTAAAATTGCTATGGCGACCATTTTGTTTTCCGCCTTTCTAGTCATGATTACGTTCCAATACCATCATTAGATCAAGTATATAAATATTATTAAAATATAAATATTGCATTTTCATATTAGACGACTGCCATATTTAGTTAAGAATGACGTCACTTTACTTATCGTTTTTCGCTCCTCAAGCCCTTTCATTTGATACCCATATCATAGAGTTTACTATGAAAATTATAAATCACCATTTTGTGACGTCCAGCATATTAGATTTAGAATAGCGTCACATTTCTTATTGGATTTTGCTCATTAAGCCTTTTAATTTGATACCCATGTCATAGGGCTTGCTGTGGAAATTATATATCGCTATTTTGTATATATTAACTTCCGCCATATTGGATTAAAAATGGCGGCATTTAAGTAATCGTGCATTGTCTTGAGAACCAAACGTGTGTCCACATTTTAACCCGATAGCTCCAGTAGAAGTGGGTGAAATATTGATTGCAAAATTCCAGGGCATACATACAAGTGAAGTTAAACAAAATCTTTTAAAAAATATATTGCTACTCGCTTTTGCTAGCCACCCATTTAGCAGTAATTTAGGATTTGATTGAAATGGTGTAACTTTCAACCGTTTCAAGAACGGGACAACCACACCACATCACCTTTTTTAAAACTCATCTGCAATTCCTATAGTATTGCGGTTCAGGTGAGCCCATAGAATACTATAATACACAATAGAATGGCTGTCAACCTTATTTTGTACGATGATCAGGGTCGCCGGGATCACACATACAATCAATGACATTTTCATTAATTATCAGTTATCACTACTACAAACCCGATTCGCTGTGTTGACAGACTGAGCGAATTTACACATTTCAGACTTTTGATTAATGTTTTTAACACATGAATATTTCTTTATTTTTGTTTCTAATATTCACAAAATATAAATAGTTTCGACTTACCGGTTGTAGGATATATCTCCTTTATTTAAATTCTATATGCCGCCGTTTTTTCGACACGTAATTATTGCACAATTTGCCATTTTTTAAATAATTTGAATGCAGCGACACTTGACACGAAAATTGGAAACAATTGATTGTGTTGACATTTATAGGTGTGAATTGACATGTTAGTGACATACTAGTGGCTACACAGGCTCCGCCCATTCCCTCATCCTATATTATGTATGCATTATAGTATTCTATGGGTGAGCCGCGTGCTCGTGTGATAACTCTCCTGTAAACGAAAGCGATTGGAAAAATAGTTTTTAAGAGAGGTTGTATTTGATGTATTTTTAACTTAAGCAGAACTTATACGATGAATGAAGCAATCTATTTTTGTAAAACTTAAACCATAAAAATGTTAAAAACATGAAGTATATATTTGAACAAAGTAATCAAGTAATTTCGAGTTTTACGCGCAAAGAATCTCATCATCATCATTACAGCCCTTCACAAGTCCACTACTGAACATAGACTGCCCCCGAGGAATGTAGCAAAACACGGTTCTGTTCCTGAGCTACCTGCATTCATTGACTACCTGTATATCTTACCAGGTCGTCATTCCATCTGGTGGACTTGCCGTTCGAGAACCTGATTGATTCCCAATTATATCTTTATAGCACTGACGTGTAAATATTGACTTTGTTAATTATTACAAATTTTGTGAAATTTCAGTATAGCGTGCCCAGCTGCAGTGCCCTACGCATTTATCGGCGAAATATTGCCTTTGAAGTACCGGGACATAACTCTATCAATTACCAACGCTATGCAGATATCAGGTTCCGCATTGGTCCCATGTAAGTTATTCCACTCCTCATAAAATATTAACTTTTTTTGTCTGTTATTTACATCTAAATACAACGATGCTGTCTTTTGAGTGTGTTAATACTAAATACATAATTTATATTATTTATACCTCGTCATAAGTAGCATACGCACCGCACTGGTGTAATTAGATCCTAATCACCACTTACCGGGGGTTGGTGGGATTGCAGTTGAGCTGGTAACTTAGAAGTTATTCAAACTATATATATATATATATATAATAACAATTAAACAGATCAACGCAATCGAATTAAAGTAGTGGATAATAAAATTAGGCCACCTACGAAACCGGTTGACGTGACCGTGTTTCAAAACAAAAACTTATTTGTTTTATTGATTTTGTGTTAATTTTTAAATTAAAGAATGCATTTTAAATTAACTTTTGTTAGCAATACACAAGAAAAATCAAAAAAGAAGAAAAATTTACAACGACATCACACTGATTAAAAATAATGGTTTCGCTGATGTCAATCTTTCTTTAGTAAGAGGTATTGCCTCCTCTGGCTTTGATAATACATACTATCGATGAACAAAGTCATGGATTGTATCAACTTTTTAATATTAGATTGGGGTATGTTTTCCTGTTCCTTCAATAAAGCCGCTTTCAGCTGTTGCATGTTCTCCAGAGCTAGATCTCGCAGTCTTCTCGCCGTTTTAGCTCGTCCCATAAATGTTCTATGGGATTAAGGTCTGGACTTCGTGCTGGCCAGTCCAGAAACTGTATCCCCACTTCTCTAAAGTAATCACAAACGCACATCGAAGAGCGTTTGAGATTAGTGCATAAAGCTTGAGTATAGCAAGCACTACGTGCTGTGTGCGTGTGTACGAGCTTAAGCTCTGTACGGGCTTCTAAGCTTATACCTCCCCAGAACAAAACTAAACCACATCCAAAGCTTATCCTTTCGGCTATGGCACATTGTGCATATTGTTCACCCGGACTACGATATACTCTTTTGTAACGATCAGCACCATATAGACTCATCAGAAAATAGTACTTTCCCCCATTATGCCACAGTCCAATCACGGTATTCAAGAGCAAAATTTAACTTTGCTGCCTTATGAGTTGTGGTAACTTTAGGACTTCTTACAGGTCTGTATGGTTTTAAACCACGTTCTTTAAAGCGTCTTCTTATTGTCCTATCACCTACAGCGACACCTCGGACATGTCTGAGCAGGTGCTTTAATTCTACTCCAGAACTACAGACTACAAATCGATCATCCCGTTCAGATATCTCCAAATACCTTTTGTAAACATATTGAACCGTTGATCGACTTACTTCGCATTGTCGAGCAATATTTCGCTGCCTCATTCCAGTTTGTAACAACGATACGATTCGAACAACTTCTGCTTCGCGTAAATCCATATTTATCAGTGAAAAGGAAGTGGGGGGCACAGTACTTTAATTAGTAATACAAATTTAATGATAGATTTAAATAGCGTCCTAACGACATTTAAAAAGACTTATTAATTACATTTGACACACTTACACTTGATAATTTTATCTATACCCTCTACTAAGATTGCAAATAAACGTTTAAAAACGTATTATTTATTTTATTTTTAAACAACCATAATTAATGAATAAATCATAAAAACAGGTGTGACCTAAGTATACCTACCAGTATATATACGTATGGAGTTAGATAATTTTAATTTAAGTTAAAAACGATAATTAATGTAACGTGTAGAAATACATTTGGCGCAAATCTTATGGATTCGCTTAATGATTCAACCACCACTGTTCGGTCGGCAGAACAACGCAATAATTTGAGAGTGACAAAAGAAGCATTTAGTTCACACAATACTCGTAGTATGCGGCTACTGTACCCAGCCTAAAAATACCTAAGAAAAATACCTAATAATTAAGAAGCCAAGAATAAACTTAATGCCCCATTTACATTCAGCCCTGTTGGGCAGGGAAGTGAGCAGGGCAGTGAGCAGGGCAGTGAGCAGGGCAGTGAGCAGGGCAGTGAGCAGGGCAGTATGTAAACAGGCTACTCGCGCTGACACTGCCGCTGCCACTGCCCGACGATCGCTCAAATGTCGGTTTTTCGTGCGGAAGTCAAAGGACGGGCAGCGCGAGCGGCAGTGAGTGTTCACATTCAGCTCCATCCAGCGTTGCGATCGATACGGCAATGGCCGTAATATACGGCGTTCCACGATTTTTTTAAAGATAATACGGAATACGGCAAGCTTTTCATTGCAGTATCAAGTATTACGGCAATTCAGCTTTGCGATAAACCACGATGGCAAATTATGAACAAAAAAACATAAAATACCTGTATCGATATCCATATTTTTTCACTTTCGTCATCCTTTAAGTGATAACTGTTTTCCGTCGTTATCGCCACTGACCCAGCAATTGCCACGAGTTGTGAGAGAATCGGATAAGCAACGAATGAATGACGAGTGGAGGTTGCTACCAAATGTAAACAAATATTCAGAATTAGAAATAAAAACATGAAATTTGGGCAAATGTCCAAGATACTACAGACTGCAAAATATTATCAAATTTTGCTTCAGACCTATTATGTCTATCTACAACATAGCAGTGCAGATTGCGAAATAGTTTTCAGTGAAGTAAACAATATGAAAACAGAAATAAATTGATAGCATCCACTGTCAACGGAGCTCTATTAGCAAGACAAGCGGTTAAAAATCAAGGAGGTTGTACGAAATTTCAAGTGTCAAATGATATGTGTAAGAAAATGAAAAGCAAAGAAATATATTAATTACATAAACAAATAGAAAAAAAAAACACCCCCCAAAAAAAAAAAAAAAAAAAAAAAAACACAAAACGGTGAAGGTTTTTTTTTTTATATATTTTTGTTTTTTATGGTAGCCGTGATGTTTTCAATCAATCAGAAACCTATACGGTGAAGACATTTCATATTTTATGTGTTTTATTTAATTTTTCGTAGAAATAAATACTTTACGGCAATTTCGTGTATTTTTTCATAAATACGGCAATTTTCGTTTTTAGATACGGCAACTCAATTTTTTACAGTCGCAATTCGCAACGCTGGCTCCATCGCTCACATCGCGCAGAGGCAGAGCGTGCGTGCCGTCTTGTTAAATAAGTACGATCTACCAAAATGCCTTTCGAGTGGAATAATGAAAATACAATAAAGTTTTTAGAACTGCTGGAATCAGAAAAAACTATATGGGATTTCAACGACAAAAACCACAGTTCATCATCTTCTACGAATACGAATTTTCTTTTTGAGATAACATAGTACCTATGTACATAATTAATTATATATTCGTCAAATTTATTATATTAATATAAAATTTAGTTTAAGGAATTAATGAACATTGACATTTTATTTCTAAAAACGATTAGTAACTCATATTGGTTATTTATTTATTAAAATATAAAATAAGTTAAATGGTAATATTTGCATAATAGCCTGAGATTTTTAAATTATAATTTTATTGTAATTATAATTATGAATTAATTTATACTGTAGTGTAATTATTAAAATAATAATAGCTTAACTAATCTCATATAATATTTAATATTATTTATATAACAATAATGTAATAATTCAATTAATAATTTATGAACAATTTACTGTATAAGAATTCAAATAGAGTGGATCTGTCTAAGTATTTAATTGTACATAATAAGCAATGCAATAATTTTAAAATGTAACATTGGGTTTGTGTAATTAGCTGTATTTCATATCATTTTTGCATGCCAATTATGGCAAAACATGTCAGTTCCACGTCATTGATCATCTTATGTACCATGTTTTTAAGCAAATAAATTTTCTATCTATTTATTTATTTTATTCTTTATTGCATCCTTAACAAAAGAATACAAAGGGCGGACTTAATGCCTTGAGGCATTCCTATCTATCTTCTTTTGAACTTGACATCTTTTTAAATTATTAACATAATTTTGTATTGCAAGAAGACACAGCGCGGACGCTGTAATTATTTCGACTTCTGCTATAGTCGAAAGCCGAAAGTGATGTGAGTGATATAGCAGAGTGTAAATACACACTTCCCGCAATCCTGCTACGGCAGTATTTAGCGAAGTATTGCCGGCAGCGCGAGGAGCAGTGGCAGGGGCTGAATGTAAATGAGGCTTTAGAAACAAAACAAAACTCAAGATTTTCGACCAATAAGTATTAACAGCTTAATTATTAGTAGTTTCATACTGCTGTGTCGAATGATGAGCGTAGAGAACCGAAGACCCTTGCTTACGGGAAACGGGCATTCCATCTTAGCCCTCGGGGGTGACTGGATAGATCTTGGTGATCTGCACTGGTGTAATTAGGTTCTAATCGCCACTTACCATCAGGTGGAATGTGTACTCGTTTGTCTCTTTAATTCTATAAAAACAATTAACGATGGCAATTGCAAAATAAACCTTGGCCTGTATTTTGTAGCTATAGAGGGATTAAAAATATAATTTTATTTTTCTAGTGTTTGCCTGGGCTATTCTACCTCTGGACTTCAGAGTAAATTTCGGAGCTTATGATTTTGTACCTTGGAGACTCTTGACTATAATCTATGGATTGACCTTCGTAGTATCAGCTTTGCTTCTGTCGTGCGGTCCTGAAAGTCCCAAGTATCTCATCTCTCAAGGTAAACACGATGAAGCACTTGAAGTTTTGAGGACAATGTATTCAAAAAATAAAAGAAAATCGCCTGATGATTTTCCTGTAAGCATCAATAATGTTTTCTATTTAGTATTGCCCTTAGTGCGGTTCCGTTTACAGCGGCTAGTCTCAACGAAGGATTACACAGGACAGGATTACAGTGCCAGTATCACAAACACAGGTCCACTCTATTGGTGACTTTCATAGTCCGATAGGACTGTAATCCCATACGACCCAAGGGAGATAAAGTGCAGGACCATCGGCTTTTTAGGATACTTGAAGAGGCCAGTGATTTCGCACTGCGCAACGCACCGCCGCGAGACGTCTAGAATCGCATCTTAAAGTCGCTGGCAGCGCACCGCTCTAGCACGCTACGCTTACCTGTATATCTTACCTTATCTTAGATGCAGCACCGCTGCGTCTAATACATTGCGCTACGCCGCGAGGCACCTCAAGGCGCAGCGTAGCGTAGCGCGACGCCGCGGGGAATTTTCGAATTATTTTAACAAAATGTGTATCTTTTTGTGAACTGAATAAAGTTATATTTTGTACCACTATTTTAAAAAATATGCGCCGCATCCCGTCGCGTCACGTCTCAGTATGAACTAACTCTAAGAAAGCAATTGTAAGTGAATTATTAGTTACGTTAGAACGACTGATTTCGTTTTCGTAGTCCCTTTCTGTTGTGCTAAGATGCTTTTAATTTTAACATCGGGCCAAGAACCAGTGAATACACTATATTAGCACTTGATTAGCACTCATACTTTATGCGTTATCTTGGTGATTTTAATTGCATATAGTATATAATAGGTATTTGCCGAAACATATAATGTACTCGTGAATAGCACAAACATGCTATCTACACTTTAAATGGAAAGCGAATAAAATTTATTTGAAACCTTTGTCCAAAACCGACAAAGAGATAGAAACGCGTATTCGTTATTTATGTTCTTCCACTTATTCGTACAAATCAACCAAATAAAGATGAAAATCACCTTAACATCTTAGCACTGTTGGCCTAATGAAGGATTACTAGTAATTAGGAGGTACAATAGATTCAGATCGACTATAATTTATATTTTTATGTAAGCAATACTTACATATATTTAAGTAATACGTATCTAGTAGATAATTACGAAGATACTATCTACGCATTAGCTAAAATTATAAATAAAAATTAATTGATATTGTATTTTTGCAGATAAAATGGCTAAGATCAGATGAGTTTGTTAAAAAAGAAAATCTCGGAATTTTCACGTCATTGAAAGTGCAATCACTGCCATTATTAAAAGCACCATATATAAAATGGATGGCACTGAACAGTTTTATATTTTTTGGTTTATTTTCCACGTGAGTATCTATAATTTAAATATAATAATATATTCACATAATTAATTCTATTGGGAAACGCAACTATGACAGTTACATAAATAAAGTTTGTTGCAAAAGGAGTGTGACGAAATATGGAATACTGTTTTGTTTTCTTGGCAAATAATATGAGTTAAAAAATGTAAGAGCGAACAATGCCATTTCATTGCACAATGAAAAAGATCGTGCGATAGTTCAACAGGCGCCCTAATATCTGGTGCGAATACCATCGCGCGCTGCGACCGCGCCCTGGCTAATATTATCACAGAATAAATAATAGTACAAGAACTATTATTGAAATGGCACCGTTGCGGTGGAGGTCTGTAAATACCGAGATGCACAGTTTTTACTGTTGGGCAATATTGCTTTAATAGTTGCAAATGGCATTGAAAAAACCCTCGCACCTCATCCCTTGCGTTGCTGCGCACGCGCAATGGCGTGTGACCAGCGAGGATAAATGAAGATGTCTATGGGCCACAGCATCCACTTACCAGCTGGACTGTGTGATCGTATGGCATATCTATAAAAAATACCAAAAAGGTCATATTTATCAAATATACCAAAATAAAAAATACTCTGATTTAAAAATAAACATATCTTATAAAAAGTAGTTTTTACTATATAACAAGCAAGACTACTTTGGTTAAATTTAAAAAAGGAACTTTAAGAAAGGGAAAGTAAAATAATAGCAGGTCTGTCTCACTCCGCGCTTTAGGCATGAAAATATACCTACGCTACACGGCCGCCTACATTAGGCTTATTCAGTTAGGTTTTCACTCGTGCGCTCGAGCTGACGCGCGCCTTACGTTAACAAAAAAAATCATTTTTCTCTTAAAAGCATTTAGGCCCTATTGATATTTATTTTTGAGTTTTTATTCAAGTATGGCTACTCAAAAAGCCAAAAGGTACCCGATACAGGTACAGCATACGGGTGCTTAAATAACAATAGGAATGTCGACTTTTAATTTTTTACTGTTCCAAAGGATATCGAAAGGTAAGAAATGATTATTTATAAGTAGATCTAGATAAGGTACCTAGTTATTGGCGCCATGGTTATAGATTTATTATTTGAATTCCGAACAGACCACAGCTTCACAGTTTTCGATTTTTTTCACTTATAATGTCAATGACTTTAAAAATAATTAAGTGTAAGTAGACCTCCCAGTGATAGAGACTGCCTAATAATGCAAGATTAGCATATACTGGTTGTTAGTTAAACACTTACTAGGTCTACCTCAACCTACCTACCTCAACATAAGAAAACTGAGGTTTCGGTTTTTCTTTCTTAATGATTTTATCATATCATACGAGTTGCATAGTCCGACATCTGATGTAACATTAGTACATGAACGAACGAACATACTTACATCCTATTACGAAATAATATTTAGTATAGAGTAGGTAATATTTAATACCTATTTAATAACGTAACATCATCATCATCAACCTAAATATTGATCCACTGCTGGGACACAGGGCTCCCCCTGTACGGAAGGGTTTTAGCAGTAGTCCACCACGCGTCCCAATGCGGAGTGCTGGACGGAGTACTTACTAGATAATCAGTAGTTCTTTAGACCTCTTACACGCCTTTTACTTCATCCACAGGCAGACATGCTATCAACTATACCGGCATCACACAGTACGTAATAGTAATAAAGTATAAGCTACCAGCAAATTACTAATACATTGCATGACACCTCGGTGTATTCTACTACCAACTATCTACAGTAGGAGCGGCCATTAACAAAGGCGCGTAACGAGCTAAGTGATACAGACACTCGCACGCAGACGTAAGGTGCATTTTGATTTAATACCGCATTAATTTTTTTTCGACGTTTTCACGAAGGTCATTTCCAAGGCGTGGAGATTATTATGAACATTAGCAAAGTTGTAACTAGGTTTTTAACCTCGCAAGTTTGCCATCAGAGAGTGATTCTTCTGTTCTTTTACTATTATTTATTCTGTGATAATAGGTTTGGAAATAAGCAGACGTGTAGGTACCTAGTCATCATAATTGATGAAGAATATATTGTTTCCGCTGAACTCTCACATAAATTTTCAGAATTAATGGTCTATACATCTGGTTACCCGACGTGTTGAACCGCGTATTGACCGGAGACAGTGAAGGCCTCACTGCTTGCGAAGTCATAGCCCAGCGCTTTAACCAAGTATGTAAAAAATTATGAATCATATACCATTGAGTTAATACAACACTAGAGGAGCAAACCACATTACCGCGCGTCTAAAAAAGTGTAACCACTATCCAAACGCGACGACGTAGCTTTGAAACTAATAACAATTTTAAATAAACATATATCTATCTCACTTACACAAGTTGCGAAAACAATATCGTCGCTAAGATTAGATAAAGATAGACACACAAACATGCAATGGCGGCTTGGTGTGGCTTACTATATGAAATTTTACCTAAAATACACAATACAAATGAGTTTGTTTAAGCTGCAGTTAATTGTTTTTATATTAAAAAAGTATATTTTATTTTAAAATCTTTATTGCGTCCCCTTAGAAAAAAGTAGACAAAGCTTATCAGATGAATAGAAGTAAACGAAGAAGTAAAATGAAATAAAACACATTTTTATAAGTATTTTTATTGTAATAATAAATCAAAGAATATAAAATAGGTAATAAAATATAATTAATATAAAATTATTAACATAAAATAGGTAATAAAATATATTTAATAGATAATATATGAATAAACTAAAATAAGAATAATTAATTATTTTGTATGAAACTTAAAACGTAGTTTTTATTATAATTTCCAAAATATTTAAAATCAGAGGTAATAACTTACTACATTAATTATACAGTCTCCCATTAAATAGGATAATCACAAATGCGGCAAAAGCGGCAACATTGAACCTAAATGGCAATATTCGATAATTTTATTTAATTATTTGAGTTTTTTACGTTTATATGAAAACAAGAACTAAAAAGTATGTGTTGAAAGTGATTCTGCTTGATTTATTACGTTTTTGTGACCTTGAATAGCATCCTGTCACTACGCATATCATCCATTTTTTGTCGCAGCTTAACTCTGTCGGCGTCACATTGAACACTGAACTGACGTTAGCTAGGCATATGGCTGTGGCCATATGTGCAGTGGCTTTTTTGGCTTTGGCGCGGTTGTTACTGATCTAGTGTAATATATAAATCAATGTCATACACGATTTATTCAAAAGCAACAAGGCTCGCAAAAGATAATGTAGTATTTAAAGTGTGGTATGTGGTTAACTGTGTAATATAATTTTGTATATCCGAATTATTTCTTTTAAATTTAAATCCTTTTGTTGTTACCTATATTAGGTAGAATTATTGAGATTGGTAATGAAGTGGTTATCAACATTATCACGTACATATTAAAAGTATATTTTTATTATATTACCTAGCTTCTTATGGAAACCGTTTGCTTTAATCAAATCTAAAGGTTATAAGCTTCCTTACTATGAATCTTTAAGCCAAACTCTGCACCCCATTATATCATATTTAATGAATTAACAAATAAATGTAATTCTAACATATTTTTCTTAATTTTTAATGCAGACCGCCGACGACTTTGCTGCATGCGACAATTCAATTGCCACTATCACATTCTTGATCAACACTGTAGCAAATATGTCCTGTGCCATCATAGCATTGGCCGTGAGTAGTTGCGTGAAAATTATTGGCAAGAAGAGACTGCTAATCACGGTGCTGATGCTCATCGGAGCCTTCTGCATGCTGATCAACGTTGTAACTCAAGATGTATTGTTCGCTATTTTCTTATCTTCAATGCCGATAGGTGGGCTGGCTATTGGACCTGTCAATGCGTTCGCCGTTGAAATATTTCCTACACATCTAAGGTAATAATTTTTTTTTTAGTTTATTATCATTGAAATATAATTTACTAAAACAAATGTGTACAAGTTTGATTTTGAGAAACAAACTGTAACTCGAGAATCGAGTATATCGAGCATCACATCAAAAATACCTATATTTCGATAAATATAAATTAGCGAATCATCTGCTTATTTTTAGGTCGTAAATAATTTGCACTGTATATTCTGTGTAGTACCAGATATCCACCAGGAGTTCGCACTAATTGCTTCTGGTCGACTCTTTTGGGAGCATGTACACCTTTGAGAATAATTCTTATTCAAATGTTATTTATAATAATTACACTACAATAACTAAAATTCTAAAAATTTTATTAGAATTAGTCTCTAATAGTAGTCTAGACTAATATAGCACACCATAACTAAATTAATTAAATTAATTAAGCTGTAGTTTTTAAGTTTTAGGAGTGTATAAAAATAATTGATTTTCAAAAGGGGGCGGTAAAAGAAATAAGTTTGATAATCTCTGGTATAAAGAGACCAAAGATGACCACTTGACATTTCTAATTCCACGCATGAATTTCAATAGATTTGTCTCTTTTTGCCTTATTTGAAAATTAAATTATAAATAGCGAGATAAGTATATTGACTCTGTAAATTTGTAGGTTCTCTGTATGCATACGTATGTATGCAATTACTCTAAGACTGGAGCCTATGTTTGCGAGTGACAACCACTTTTTTATATATTATATATTTTATAACTAGTACCTAATCCCGTTATTGATTATTTTATTGCACTAAAACTAATAGTAAGTCGTAAGCCCTTAAGTTATGCAATTTATATTCATCTAATTGATGAAAGTGCGAGCTGGCCATGTCTCACAGAGGTAAATTTGAAATGTTCGATCAGAGTTCGCGTTCTGTTGTCGGTGTCGTTAATTTTTTTTTTTACGAAAATATGTATTTATTAAGTTTGTTCGGTGGGTTCAAATCCAAATTCGCTCGTCAACCTATTTCGTGTTATTATTTATTAACATGTGTGTTTATAAGCTTTAATGTATGTATAGCCTAAATCGTTTGTACTGTACCAAACGGTAGTACATTATACCATATCCGTTAACACATATTATAATATCTATACTAATGTATGTGTACCAATTTTTTATTTCAAATACCAGATTTTAGCGACATCTGTACCAAATTCATTGGGCAACTATCTAACATTACTGCTTAGGACTGAAATTAAATGTCTCATAACCTGTAAATGTAGATAATCATTATACTCTACAGACCGGAGGACCGAAATACTGCTTGGCGGTAGTGTATAATTTTAGCAAGTCAGTGGTAATTCCCCAGACATACTCCGAAGCAAAGATCGAGTCCTATTATTTACATTGTATAAAAATCCCTTTTTCCTTTCTTAATCAGGGGAATGGCTGTCAGCTTATCCATGATGGTTGGACGTATTGGTTCTGTGACCGGGGCGAACGTCGCTGGGTTATTGCTAAATGCTGCCTGCACGGCTACCTTCTATCTATTTGGGGGGCTGCTTATGGGTAAGTTAACAGTGTACACAATGTTAATTCAATCATTAATTATAATAATTAATAATAATATTAATAATTAATCAATTCATTGCGTTATAATTATTACTGATTATTCATGATTATTATATGACTGCTGTATAGCGGCGATGTAATAATATCCACTATCCAATAGGTGTTGTTAGAACAATTCAATAATAGTAAATATATATTTAGTATTTACACAATATGTAGGCAAGCTTAGCAGTGGACTCTTTGCCTGTTTGACCAACTTACATGATCGCATAATACTTCTGGAAAAAGGCTTCCTATTTCTGAAATGTTTATAGATAGAGCATGGTGGAAAATCCACCGCGTTCTATTATTTTTTTCATCTTTGTCGGTAACGTTATACGAGTTGATACTCCATCCGATAAATATATAATACTTACAAAATATAGTATGTAATTTAATTATTATAATACCAGTTTTCATGGCGATCAATTGAACGAGATAAAAGTTGATGTCCTGCAGCGCCATCTAGTGGTGTGCTGCAACCACAGAAATCGTAATAATAAGAATAAAATATAATAAAAAATAAGACAATAGAAGTCGCATAGACACGTGACCTTGTCGCCGCTATTATGTGTTAACAAACATAATTCACTATTTTGTGATTTAGTTGCACGGAGAACGGTGAATTTATGTTATTATAATGGTGAACTGCAGCATAATAGTAAAAAAAGTAGTAAAAACTCATCAAGGACGTGTAATTCAACTAATAAAGGCATAAAATTTCATAGGTAAGTTGATTATTTACTAATTATCATTGTTTTAACTAATTTACATCTCGATGAATACTTTACTATGATATTTACCTTTGTAAACTTTCATTTATTACTTTTTGTATTGTAAAATTACCATTGCTGCATTTGTTCCACCGTAATACGCAACGCACGCGACGTTGACAAACTCGCCAAGCAATGTAATGTGAAATATTAGATACCTATCATTGTGCATTGTGTATGTTTATAATACGACTGTAAGTGGCGACATCGGTTTTGGAAATAATCGAGCGCTAATTCATTTCTATTGTCTTATTATTACTATTTCTGTGGTTGCAAGTAGGGGTCGCAAACCGGGATCCAGAATCTCGAAAATACCGGGATACTGGACTGAAACGTAAGCTTTAAAATACCGGGATTGAGTGAACGGAGACCGGTATTTACAATTTTTTCGGTATTTCATAATAAATTTATGTTAAATAATATTATATCAAAAAAATAGTCCATGCTTTTCACGTGGTGGATGCTATGGCAACGCGGCTCGACTATGCAACGCAAGTCCCGCGACTACACTCTGGAGTGAGTGAGAGAGTACCTACTCCCGAGTCCTGAGCCGACGACGAATCTTCTCGCCTGTACAACTAATGACGGTGCCTGTGTAATGATCGCATTTGGAAGAGAAGCAGCACTTTTCCATCAGCAATGCCTTGCTCATGGTATACAGTTATTAGACGTGCTCTATGAAAAGGAAAACAATGCCTAAACTCAACTAAGCGAACTGGAAGATGACGATTGACTCTGCTTTGGAATGTTATAGAGAAGCTTACTATAAGGAGGGAATAGCTGGGTGTTACCATCTGCTTGGGATCTTATAATTAATAAAATTAAATCCCAAAACAAGCATACAGTTGCAAGACTTCAAGATACGCCCATTCTGCGTATATCGGACCAAAAACTAATATTGTAAACTGAAGGTAGCCGTGTTTAACTATGCCACTGCGACGGGAATATAAAATAAGTTAAAATACGCAATAAAATTCGTAAAATTTAGTTTCGTTTAAACTTGTTCAATTCATTTAAAAGAAAATTTATAACATTCTTTGCTAGTGGATTTAACCCATGACCCAGATTTTCTCCTTCTCTAGAGATATCGCTTTTGGAACCGGTGGTAGATTTTAACGTTCATAGAAGTTTTAGATGATCGTAAACTGAAGAAAATATATGAATTTTTCTAACTAAACCATGGAGCAAAGAAAGCTCTTACTCGATTCCCATGAAAAAAAGTGAAGAAAAAAGATAAATCGCCCAAGAGCATTTTATGTTTTATAAGATAAATAAATGTTACGATTTCGGTTTTTGTGTTTAGCTATAAGGAAGTTACTTAGTAGGAGCTTGTTATTGTTAAGGCTGATTACTAGAGGTTTCTTATGTTTAAATAGTTTAAAATAAGTCAGCAGCAGTGAGTTATTTATTAAACTTTCAATAAATGATTGATTTTCTTATCTTAACACACTTTTATTGTTTGGTTCCATTACATATTTTTAATATTTTTCTCACTATATTAAAAAAAACGAAAATACCGAAACTACCAAAATATCGGTATTCATTAAAAACTAATACCGAAAACACCGGTTTTTAAAAAGATGTCCGGTATTGCGACCCTTGATTGCAACAAAGTGGATAGCAGAAAACCTTCTTGATATATATATATTTTTATATACTTGAGATCCTAGGACAGTATAGGACTTCTTTTCTGCCTAGAATTCCGACTGGGTAGGTACCACCCTCTTATATATTTCTGACATCAAATTGCACTGCTATATTCTGGTGTGAAGGGTACCTACAGACAGCCAGTATAATTACGAGCGGTGAGTAGTAACGCCAGAACCGAAGACCAAAATATGAAAATCTTGGGGTTTTGGGCTTGTTGTCAGGAGAAATAAATATTTTAAAAATGTGAAATAAAAAGTTTTTTTTTTTAATTTAATAGGCTAAGTAGAAAAAGTCTTAGCATCGTTGACTAATTTAAGTACACCTAACGTTTAGGTTGCCACATGTATTTGGCATTGTACTTTACTGAATCCACTATTTTGTATCCTGTAGTAGTATTCAGTAAAGACTTAAAATTCAAACAATGTACTTCAAAGTTCAGTCTAATTACTAACTAAGCTATTATTAAAGGCAGCTGTGATGTGAAGAGAAGCTGTGTGTCTGGGGATTTTGAGTTTTGTCGGGAGTCTGGATTATTTAAAATATCGGGAGAATCCATAAGAACCCCGACCATCTGGCAACCCTAACTGTGAGGCATTCCTCAGGGTTGCCAGATGAAATGTCATCTTAGTCCTCAAAGGTAACAACGCAGTCTTTCTTTGTTTGATGCTGGCTGCAGGTGCCCTTAGACTGCAGAAGCAACTTACCATCAGGTGGATTATAAGTTCGTTTGCTATTTTAGTTTTATAAAAAGTGGTGGTGATGTTCCCCCGTTTCTTAGCAATCGGCCAAATTGTGTCAAAATCTATTAATCACAAAGAAATTCAGATATAGCAATAACCATTTATATATGATTAAACATAAGCTGAAATTTTGACGGCTCCATGGCACAGTGGCTTAGCAGTGAGTTGCAACGCTTAGGGCCGCGGGTTCGAATCCCGCACGGAACAAATATTTGTATGGTCTATAAATAATTGTTCCGGATCTAGATGTTTGTTCTTGAGAAATTTATGCATGTAAACTGCCCCCACAATACAGGAAAGTCCTAGTGTGGAGGTTAATAAAAAGAAAAAAGAAGATTTTTCTATATCAAATCATTATAACTTTCAGTTTGCGGACTTTCAGCGTTCTTACTGCCGAGTTCTAACGTAGCGCCAGTCCCCAGGGACGCAACTACAACTAAACTGTGAGGTCTTACAAGAGGACAGTGAAGTGACGACAGTTAAATTTGATGCGAATTACCAATGTGTACAGAATCTTTAAGTTACGTTTTGTAAGGTATTATTTATTTAATAAAAGTTTTATTTTAGTTAAGTTTTTTGGCCTGTGTTGTACCTATTTGTATTTTTAAAAACGTTAAACTTAGAAATCCCCTAAAATAATAGAAAAAGACAACATGTACCAAAGAGGTAGGTATTAAGAGGATTGTGAAGCTGTAAATTTACATACAAAAAGCGATAACGTTTTTCTCCCCGTTAACGTAGTCTAATTTTCATAATTTTTGGCAATGTATTTTTAGTAATGAATAACTAGATCCGTACGTTTTTATATTAAAGAACTATTGCGTAGGATATAACTTATAAACATCTTAATACCTATCGATATTTTTGACTTAAAAATTTCCTCGTGCATTTTTTTTTAATTAGACTATACTGAATTACCAAAAAAGTAAAACGTATACACTTAGATTAAGGTGGGCTGAATCAAATGAGACCAAAATTGTCTTATTTCGTAAATTTTTAGGGGGTGAAAATGTCATCCCCCAAAACAATATTTCAAAAAGGAAATGTAGGCAATTGCCTTCAAGACTAGCAACTCTATCGCACAAAGAAGGACAATGGAGGCAAAGCGAGCAGTATAAAACAGACAGCAATTTTGAACACATCTACTCGCGCCGCGTGTCGTCGCAATCACAATCCTCTTAAAAGAGTACAATTTTAGTTGTACACTAGCCTGTTCACAGTTGGTCATGGACCACTCCTATGAACAGGAAACCCAATCTGGATCGGGCGAAATCTATGAACAGCACAGAAATTTTACGGACTGATGATAAAGACGAATAAAGCTATAGTGAACTGTGTTGCTTTAAACAAAAGTAAAAGTAACAGCTCTAAGTAAAGTTAAAACTTGCTATTCGTCTACTCAACATTTTATTTGTAATATACGCCTCTGCGACAAAAGAGGAAATACTAGCGTGAAGGTAACGTTAAAAAAAATGCTTACCACCTCGCCGCGTATAGCAATCGTTATATTACGAAAATAATAATCTACGTATATAATTTTAATGAATTAAAATTATATTTTTTTTAAAATTTAAAATTAAATTTTTTTCTAAAAAAACTGTTAAAAAAAATATTATAATAGAGAATATTATAATTAATAAAGATAAAAATATTTTTAAGATTTCAAAGAATAGTTTATGAAAAATAATAATTTTGGAGATTATTGATAAAGAATTTCTTTTTCTTTGAAGTTTTTAAAGTAATTCCTCTTGACTACCACCGTACTTCATGTAGTACATAGAAATTTAAAAATTCAACCAAAAATGTTTGAAATGGCAACCCTTTTTTGATGTTGCAATGCCTGTTAGTTCTTTTTGAGTAACTTTCGTCCATATTTATTTCGTCATTTCATTAAAAATGGCGTCCAAAGCAAGTGAAGCAGGAGCGCGCTCGCACAGACGTAAGTTTATCCATGTTAATCTCTAATGTGTGTTTGATATTATGAACTATTTTTGTATATTTTACCTAAAATAAGATTGTGTTTGATTTGTACCTATATTTATGGGAAACTTGCAAAATTCAGTACACTATAACCTCAAACATTTTTATGTCCTCTGCAAAGTACAAGGGTCGCAAATCAAAGTTTTGCATTACTAACTACCCACGTACTGTACAAAGTACATTGCAAAACTTTTGGGATTATTTATGAGTTTTCACTTTTATTTCAGCCATGAATGATGAAAATATCGCTGACGCACTAAATGAATCTGAATTCGACTATTCGGGCGATGATTCAGATTGTGATCTGACCTTCAAACCTCCGGAACTCGACTGTCATGTTGTTGCAATTGGTGCTAATGATTCCGATACGGACATTACAGACTCGGATGATTCAGATAATGCTACTGAATCAGATTACCCTGCACCTTCACCTACGTTATCTACTGACTCCAGGGCTCCAAGGTCACGAGGAAGAGCACAAAGCAGACGACCATGCAGAGGTCGTTCACTTACAAATCCTCGTGTAATCACACTTCGCGGAAACTCTGAAAATGACAGTGAGTCACTAGATTAATGGTCAGCAGATGCGTTTGAGCCAGAAGCCAAAAGTTTAATGCAACCAGCTTACCTGGTCGTAGATTCCACTGATTGGGAGTGGCAATCATTCTATGAACAATATATTACTGATGACATCCTGACTACCATTACTGATTGCACAAATAGGACCAACATATTGCATAAAGGAAAAACACTGGGACTAACAATAAAAGAACTAAAAGTTTTCCTTGGAATAACGATGATCATGTCTGCCCTCCAATATCCCCAAATCAATATGTATTAGTCAGGAAAATACAGAGTGAACATTATTGCTTTAGCCATGACTCGAACCAGATTTTATGCTATCAGGACGCAATTAAAATGTGTATACGATGCTGATGTTACTCCGGAGCAGAAAGAGGAAAAAATCTGGAAAGTTAAACCATTATTTGACTGTATTTTGAATGGCTGCCATCAACAAGATCGTTCACAAGATATGTGCATCGATGAAATGATAATTCCTTTCACTGGGCGATGCCACATGCGACAATATTGTCCAAACAAGCCAAACCCAGTTGGCCTCATAGTGTTTGTCCTTGCGTCACCACAAAGTATTGTATGTGATATGATAATTTATCAAGGAGACAAAACTTTTCCAGAGCTTAACTCTCAAGGGTTTGGATTGGGTGAATCAGCCGTCCTACATCTTACGCGAACTCTAGTCCCAGGGCATTCCCTATACTTTGATCGTTACTTCACCTCGGTGAAGTTGTGCGACGAATTATTTAAAAGAGGATTTCATGGAACTGGTACTATACAGAGAGGAAGAATCCCGAAAGATTGTAAGTTGACGCCAGAAAAAGAATTCAAGAAACTGCCACGAGGTTCAAGTGAAGTGAAGGTGCGAGAAGACTGCCAGCTTGCAATAACAATGTGGCTTGACAACAAGCCCGTGATGATGATGTCTTCTCTCTATAGCAATAAAAATAAAGATGACTGTGAGCGATGGTCAAAAAAGAATGCTGTCTGTGTGCCCCTCACGAAGCAGGACTATCAAATGGACTGTAAGAGTGATATCACTTCTCTTTGATTTGGCGGTTGTCCATTCGTGGTTCCAATAACGAGCTACAGAGTTAGAAAAAAACACAAACAGGGCCCTTATATGGAAACTTCGAGATTATAAGCTTAACTTGGGTACCAAGCTGATTGAAGATAATGACACGGAGAGTGATAGCGAGAGTAATCCAGACCAACTGAAAGAGTTGGAACCAAAACATAAAAAGCGCAAAGTTATGATCAAACCACTTCCATCCAAGCCTTCGCCTTCAGAAAGCATCCCATATGCCTGATTATGGACCAAAGCAATCAAGATGCAGAAATAAATCTTTCGACAAAAAGACCACAGTCTTCTGCAAAAGATGTGAAGTGTACCTATGTTTCGTGCCTAACAGAAACTGCTTTGCAAGTTTTCATGAGAAAGTTGAGGAATGATTTCTAATTTTGTTTAATTTTATTCTTGTTGATTTTTAGAAGCTTTGTTTTTCTTTCACTTAAGATCTCTTATTATGAGGCTGATTATTCAATGATTAAGATAAGGATAAACTTTAAGTTGTTAACATTGATCTCTCAAATATAGTGTTAGTTGAAAACATATTAAGAGTAAGAATACTATTTTTTTATCTCCTTTTTAAGAGAGTAAATGAACAAGACGTTAAGTTTTTTGAAAGATTTATTAAAAATTGTGTTTCAACATTTTTTTTACGTTTTATTTTTTAAATTCATACGCAATGTTACGAAAGTCTAGCTGGTTTAAATCAGATGTAACGCTTATGTCCTACTAGAAGTACATCTAAATTAGCTACAATTGTACTTTATAAAGAACATAAGGAAAAGCTAGATTTTCCGGACATGGATTTTTTTTCACAATTTTTCCCTAAATACTTATGCTTTAAATAATAACCCATAGAAGTTTCATGAAAATACTTAAACTTTAGGCTTCTTGATCGTCAAGAGGATATACCACCAACTAATAAGAGTACGTATTACCTGTGTCGTCAGTGATCAGTCGCCTTTGATACGCCCGCGACGCTTGTCTTTTCGTTGTGAGATTATTGTGAACGTTACCTTGTTACGATGGCTTTGTTTATTTGGATGTTGAGTATACCGAAATGGTGCGAATTTTAGCAATTTGCAATGATAATGTTAGTGAAGCCTGCCGTGAATAATCAAGGCGATTTCCCAACTCACGTGCACCGAGCTACGCTACGATGCTAGGCGCTACACAGCGATTGCGAGATTACGGGCAATTCCAGTCTGTATCTATCGATCGTGGTCGTCCACCGCGGCGCACAGTACGTGAGCAGGAAGACATACTGCAGTTTTTTGAAGAAAATGCAGCTGCGAGCACTTATGAAGCAGCCCGACAGTTCAATGTGTCACAATATTACGCATGGAGTGTCATACACAATGAAGGGAAGTACCCCTTTCATCTGCACCGTGTTCATGAACTCAGCGAAGCTGACAAACCTGCGCGAGTTACATTTTGAAATTGGTTACTAGCTGCTGAACGAGCTAACATTTTATGGACTGATGAAGCAACATTTGGCAGAATAGGGCTATTTAATACGCACAATGAACACGTGTGGTGCTATGAAAATCCACATGAACCAAGACCACATAGCTTTCAACACCGGTTTAGTGTCAATGTGTGGGCAGGCCCTATTAATACAACGTTACTGGGCCCTGTTTTCATAGAAAGATTAAATGGTGAAAGCTATCACAATTTTCTCACCGATACGCTGCCAGAATTGTTAGAGGATATACCACTTGCATCTCTACGCAATATTTATTATCAACTTGACGGGGCACCGGCGCATTATGCTCGTCAAGTTAAGGATTATTTAAACAGAGAATACCCTGGACGCTGGATC